TTAAGCTGCTGCAGAGGTATCCTTGTCAAGGCCTCATCTTGTTTGATCAGCTCGATGAAGCTGTAAATGTTTGAGTGAGCCCTCCCTGACACAGCGTTTATCTTATGGTGCCAGGCAGAGGTCGGCATTTTAGGTCGCCCTCACTCACCCTCACCCTCACAGCCACACTCACCTAAGCCCCTCACTCACCCTCACCCTCACAGCTACACTCACCTTCAGCCCCTCACTCATCTTCACCCTCACAGTCACACTCACCTTCAGCCCTTCACTCACCCTCACTGAACCTCACGGCCCTCATGCACTCACCGCCCTCACTCACTCATGGCCCTCACGCCACTCACCGCCCTCATTGCCCTCATGCCACTCACCGCCCTCACGCCACTCACTGCTCTCACGCCACTCACTGCCCTCACGCCACTCACTGCCCTCACGCCCCTCACCGCCCAAGCTCACGCACTCATGCACTTATGGCCCTCACACCACCTCATGCACTCACAGCCCTCACGCCACTCACTGCCCTCACGCACTCATGGCCCTCACGCCACTCACGCCCCTCACGCACTCATGGCCCTCATACCCCTTACCGCCCTCACCGCCCTCACGGCCCTCACCGCCCTCACGGTCCTCACTCACCCTCACACTCATGAATTTTCCTGGTTCAGAAACTCACTCACCCTCACCTCACCTGTGAAGATTAGGGTGAGTGAGGGCCCTCATGAGTGAGGTTTGCCGAGGTATGGTGCCAGGTCTCCAAGGTTGTTTTGGGAGAGGAAGATGTGGAGGGAGCAAGGAGGATAGACATTGGACACTTGAACCTAATCAGCTGTTAACAAACAATGCAAACGAACCGACCAAACTGATAACGAACAATGGCCGAAGTGGGAAGGTTGTTTCGGGATAAAGTGGAATGGAAGAGGATGAAACAAAAAGGTCGTTTTGAGACGGGTCGAAACGGGAAGGTTGAATTGGGAATCGGTCGAAACGGGAACCACCTGTGCAGAAAAGTGTAAGGCAGTCTACTTCCGGTATGTGTATTTAGATACGACCGGAAGTTCACTGCCCTGCACTTTTTTGCACAGATGCAGGAGGTGCAAGTAAATCAAACGCAGCTATTTATGCTCTAAATCGCGAGTTGCACCATATCACTCAAACTTTCATATTACTATAAATGATCCTGTTGATTCGCCCCCCCGAGGCATTTTGCATACCCACTGATGTCTATGAGAACTGCTGGATTGTGCTTTCCACTCTTGCGAGTGAAGCCACCAGAGGGCCATCTTGCATGCAGCGAAATTGTGTTTTTGCAAGCGCTGCAGAAGCTGGCAGCAGCGTGCTGAAGACACGTTTTCTACTCGTTTGTCGTCATTCACCAAAGAAGTTTTTTTAAAGACCCTGTGTAAGCGTTGAGACTTGCCGTTGAGAACACTTGGAAATTTTTACGAAAGTGTAGTGCCGCAGGAAAAAGGCACAACTTGTCGAAAGCTAGTTGCGCTGGTCTTGTGGCGTGATCAAAGCTTTTTTGGCATTGTGAAGTACTGCGTCTCTGTGCCTTTGCACGCTTGGATATCAAGATTCGACGCCGTGTAGATGTGTTTTGCAAGTGCAATGTGCGTGAAGCCATATGTAGAAGCACAACTCGTCGAAAGGTCTTGCGGCGTGATCAAAGCTTCCTTGGCATGCCAAAATGCTGCGTCTCCGTGCCTTCGCACGCTTCGATACCGATCAAGAATCGACTCTGCGGCAAAGTTTGGAGGTGTGTCGCATATAGACGTCATTGCATCATATATCGGCCACGGAATTCTGGATCGTCCAGCTGTTCCGGCGAGTTGCTATCAATAAAGGGAGGAAAACAATCTCTACGGTTGCTCTAATGCACTATTAACCATGGCCATGTTCAAAATTTACATTAATAGATCACATGTCAGCACAAATCAGACTTGGACGTAGTTCAACTACTCTACTCAAACTACTGCAGTTTAACTACTTTTCCGAGTAACTTGGTAACTTTCAATTACAAGTTTATTTGGGTAACTAGTAGTTTAATTTAACTACATGTTTCAGGTAACTTCTACTCAAACTACTAACTACTTCCGAAATCTACCACTAATTTTGCTCATCACAAAAGTTTGAGCGCAGAAATAAATAAGACGCCAGCAGATGAAGTGGCATTCCGGAACAAGGGGCCCCCTCCCATTCCAGAAACTGCATCAAAGGCGTCCTTGGGCCAAGGTGGTGACGAGCAGCCAAAACATAACACCGGCGCGCACGAACGCAGGCAAAGATGCTTAACAAGCCTTGGTCGGGTATTGACCTAATCCGGTAATGCACGCAGGCGCCTGCCTCCAGCTGCAACCGTGAAAGACGGGGACACCTTCAGGGTTATTGTTGTTTTCATGTTGTCTGCCTTTAGTGACCTCTGCCTCAAGCAGTTTGGGGGTTCCACAGAGACCGCCACTGGAATGACCTCGCAGCTGACGACAAGGCGACCATGTTCCCATGGTCGCCTTGTCGTCAGCGCGTGCTCCCTTGCGAAGCCCGACTCCCCCGCGCACAAACGCAGACACGGATAATCCGTTCATGGGAGCACGTTCTCGCTTCCAGCTGCAACTGTACGAGCGACGATGCTTGTTCACGTAGTTCGACTACGCGTCCTTCCGACTTTCCACGCTAAGGAGGCCTCCTCTTTGTTGGAAACGATTTACTTGTCAGGCGTGTCAGGCGCGTCAAGGTACCGTAGTCGCCGGCCAGGATTGCGAGTCACTTTTGGGAGATCCCTTTGTTGGACCTGACATCAGCGGCGTAATATACTTCCTTTCATCTTCTGTCAAACCAAAGCAATTTTTTTTCAGTAGCGTAGCACTGCACAGTCGTCCGAATGATCTCATCGTCGTGGCGCGAGATTTGAACCCTTGACGGTCAGATGCACTCGCTCAGTGTACTCTCCGAACGTCGTGGGATAAAGAAGGGCCATTCATAACAATCTCAACTTGCCGAAGAAAACAAAAAAAAGCACGAGATTTTCTTATAAAAGACCTTCTAGCCTAGGCAAACCTCACATGTTTCGTCCCGGACACCTAAGATAGACACTCGCTTACCCGACCCTGCACAGCCTCTTTCTCCAATTCAACGCTGACGTTCCATCCAGCGAGTCGATGGAACGCATTTTAGCTTGGCTGGGGACGTCTTTAGGAGGAAAAGGGGAAAACTCCCGTATCAAGAACTTTGAAAGTCAATTGCTTCTGCGGGCGAATAATCTATTTTGGTGAAAACGCAAGCCATTAAATGACTGCATTTATTTTAGGCTCGCCGGGTTTTTCACGGATCAAAATTGATGTTCATTTCGCTACCACAAAAATATAAAAAGTAACTTCGAGAGTAACTTCAAAGTAACTCGCTACTTTTTTACAGTAGTTAGTATTTTACTCAATTACTATTGCAAATGCGTAATTTCTACTCTATTCCAATTACTTTTGGCGTCGATACTCAGTAACTTAACTACCTTTTTTGAGTAATTTGTACATGTCTGGCACAAATTAAGTAATGCTGAGGAGCAAGGATGGTGTTTGAAGGCAAAAGTACAAGGCGGCAAGATTGAAAATTTTGGAACTGCAACCCCTATGGGCGTGTGCAATTTGTTGACCGATCATAATTAGGCGAGCGGCGTGCAAACTTAATGTCACGTGCAATTGTTAATAATGAGCCAGACCATTGATCAGTGATGAGGAGCTGTTGCGCGGTATTCTGTAAACTGTCTAATGACGAAAAAAAAAAAAAACGCACCCACCCCCCTTTTCCGTCATTACTGGAAGCTGGATGAAGCTCGTTTCTGGACTGCAAGTATTGCAAGTTACAAATACAGTCATTGAGTAAAGTAAAACGCTGCTCCAGAGGCACATACGTCTTCACGCACATTGCACTCGCAAAACACATCCACAAGGCGTCGAATCTTGATTGGTATCCAAGCTTGCGAAGGCACAGAGACACGGCACTTCGGCGTGTCAAGGAAGCTTGGTCGAGTGGTGAAAGACAGACGTTTAACTGGTTCAACAAGCACATAGCTTCCATCGTACTGTCCTTTCAGAGACAAAGAGAGTATAAAATAGCTCCTTTTCAGCCAATACAGTCATCTATTTTTTGCGAGAAAGACACCCAGAATGAGAGTGAAAGAAACATGGGACCTTGGAGCACAAGGGTGTCTGCTTGCGATTCACGGTTGGGAGAACACATTGCAGATGCAGATGAAATACAATTGACACAGGTGGCCACTGAAGAACAAACTGTTTTGTAGAGTTTTTCATATTTACACTGTACGTGGTACACCACCAGCTCCGAGTTGGTGTTTTTTTTTTACTCGCATTGCTCCGTTTCGCACATTAGCAACATGGGGCCATAAGTCTCGAATTGGCATTTCGAATAGGCGCAGGCTCCTCCAACCTCCCCCTCACACATTTTTTGCTAGATGGACAGTGTCGCGAATGCTTGGAGACCTGAACACACAGTGGAAAGTTGCCCCTCAACATAACAACAAGGCGTTTGAACATTACCCTCATAATAATGTCCCTTAACATTGTTCAGAGAACACTGTGCGTGCGGGCTTATCATTGCAATTGGCCGTCTCAACCCGTCACCAAAAGGACCCGAATAACAACACATGCTACACAAGATACTGTGCGCATCACTGCGGCTTCTATGCCGTTGCAAAGCAACGATGCAAACACAAGCATTGTTGGTGTTTTTCGAACGAAATTCCCGCCTTCTGCAGTCATTCTGTGGCGGAAATGTCGGCTCGGCAAGAACCTTCTTACCCAAAAAAGGTTTTTAAGGAAACTTTTATAGAACCGAGATGGTCATCTAGTTTTGAACCAGTTACAGTGAACCATACACCTAAATGCAGTAACATGGTAATTCATTCACTAACCCCCTATCAAGTTCAAAGCTCATTACATGAATTAGAAGCAGCAGAGATTAAAAACAACAAGAAAACAATGTCACCTACATTATTACCTATGAAATGCAACTGCAGCATGGTTAGCTTTATTTACCAACAATATAGTTAGCCGTGCAAATGAGTTTCTTGATCCTGCGAGTTGCGATCTTCCATAAAGGTTGCGAAATAAGATTTTGCTCTGAAACTTTTGGCATTAGCAGTCACATCAGATTGATCAACGACTCGAAAGAAAATTATTTTCTTCATGGTTGGGTGCGTGCATCTAAGACTACTTCAGCAACAGTAGGAAACAGATAATTTTTTTCTTTAGCCTATTTTGAAAAAAAACATTAAGCCAGTAGAAACAGGAATCATCCTGGCATCCTCTAACACCAATGTTTTAACAAGCATGCACGCTACAACAGCTCGTTGCATACCTTCAGTCCTGGAAAAAATGGCTCTCATTCATAAACATATAAATATTTTCCCATAGATATTCGGATATTTGCCTTCAAGCATGACAGAGTGAGTTCTGCCCACTTGTAACAGTTACATGACACAGTGGTGCAATCTATTGGGTAAGCCTGGGTAGACCCAGAGAATTTGGCCGTTCATTGGGAAGTATAGGAGGCAAATGAGGAGGCGACATCGGTTGAAAGCGGGCTGGGAGTGTGGCGTCTTCACAAACTTGAATGTGGCCAACCAGAAACCACTAATACTCCCCTGACGGTGGTCGCGAGAAACAAAATTAAATAGTCCCTCGAAGTAACTCTCGGCGACTGAAAACACGGTGCACGTGATCTTTCAATCACGGTAACGCAAAACCATAGTGGAAGGAATATAAAGGTATAAAAAGTGTGCGCGAATAGCAGAACGATCAACGAAATCCGCACGCCAGGCACTGAAGGCCAGGAATCTGTCGTCCGAGCAACACAGTTTGAGCGGCACATTAGATTCTTGCATCTTTTTGTACGATCACAATCGAAACGTCATGTGTACCATATTTTCAACCACAAAGAGCTACTCCACTTAACTCTTACGCACTTATTAAAGCGTTTCTCACTACCGCCGCTGGGTAATTAACTTCGGCTTCTGGTTGGCCAATAGAGCGTGTGGAGCCTCCTATCTGCACCTCGTGCACGCCCTGGCTCTGCCCACTCCTCCCATCGACCATACTCTCTCTATGCTCATCTCTGGGTGTACCTGGAATACTCCATCCGTGTATAAGCTTTAAAATTCCTTTAAGGATCATTCTTTCACCGTGGGCTCGAAATATTTCTGACAATGTAACGGGCGATCATTTCTTGTAGCCAGTGTACCAGTGCACTGTTTCGTCGTACGCGGAGTTAAGCAGTTGTAACGCATTTGGTGACACTCAGGCGCAAGTGTGTGAACGAGAGTTTATAGTCTGAAAACTCTCTTGAAGAGAATCACGAGCTCGGACAAAGAAACTTGTTTACCGGCCCAGAAAACAAACGTCAGAACAAAAGAATTCCATTACAAGAAACGCGACGATCACACCTTCCCCGACAAAATTGCAGTCCACGCCAGTTCCTGCAGTTCGCTGACCTTCGGAAATTCCGCTGTGCACACGACGCAGCCCGTCCAAGACAGCCGCACGTGTGGTGCATAGTTCTCGAAGAACAGCCGAAGGCCGTAGCTGTCCGTCACCACGTGCCTCAAAGCCGGTAAACTCTTGAGCAAACTCCGCATGGTGTCGGCGTCCGTTCCTAGATCTTCCACAGTCCACGCTGTATTGAGCACGAGACGCATCACGTTCGCGAGCGTGGGCCGCGACGAACGGCGGTCGAGAAATGCGGCGCACGTGTCATCCGACGTAAGTTCCAGCCCGGTCAAGTTTGGACATGCGGCGAGGAGCGAGCGGAGCGTCGACGACGAAATGTGGCGCCCTACCGACAAACGCTCCAACTTCGGAAATGCGTTCGAAAAAGTCTCGTTGTTTACGTTGCAGCACGAGAACGCGAGCGAGCGGAGGTCCTTGCAGAAGCGCGCGACGATCGACAGCTGGACTTGATCGACGCGGCAGAGCGAGAGTTCGTCGAGGTCGAACTTCTTCAGCAGTCTCACGACGTGTCCGCCGAAGGGGCACAGCGGCGCGTCTGCTGAGAAGGTGATGGAGAGGCGGCGGATGTGCTCGAAGTCGGCGATCCGGGCGAGCGTCTCCCTGGAGGCCGCGGTGACCGTGAGGCGCTTGAGGTTGACATACAGCGGCTGGGCGCTGGCGATGTGCTCGGCGCCGACGTGCTCGATGGCGAAGCGCGGCCCGTCCGGGAGCTCTGCGTGGGAGCCCAGAATGAGTTCCTGACCGGTCTTGAACGGGGGCAGTCCGCCGGGATGGCCGCTGAGCAGCGGGTTGGAGAGGCTGATGACCTCTTCCATGGGAGCCTGGATTTCACAGAGCTGCACGGCAACGTGATATGTAATGTGGGCCACGCCATACCAAACGTGCACTAGGCATAAAGATGCATTCATTCTTGTTCTCCTATGGGCCACATGGTAGTTCAATCGTGCCCCCACAGCAGGTATAGACGAGCGTCCACATTAACGATAAAAAAAGCACAAACGAGGCTAGAGCACGAGCTCGTGCATTTGGAAGCTACTTGCGTTCGAAACGCTAGAATGATGAATCGGTGCCCTCTGCAGTGAAAAGCAAAGCTCGGCATTTCATCACAAAACCCGCAACACTGAAAGACAACCTGATTCCCTTTCTCCACACTGCGGATCCCTCTCCTTCGGCTTCATGCTGCCACATCCGAGCAAAAGCACCAGCCAATCGTGGCGTCGCATGCGGTGATGCGACTCTGGGATTGAACAATCACAACGGCACGTGACTTGCCTCGACGCAGCAATTGGCCCTTGGTACTTTACTCTCTCCCACAATCCATTTCACCTTACGATGGATTGCAGCAAATGCGACGAGCGGCTGGGGTCAGTCTAATGCAAGCTTAAAGTGATGGATTTGTTAGGATGAATCATGGCATCCACTGCAGTTCATCATAAGGTGAAATGGCACATAGCCTATCTCCCTCTCAACTGCATGCCGCAATCTTTGTGCAAGGGCATGCCCCTCGGAACATGGGCCCCCCACTCGCACCGGCAGAGTCTTGCGCCCAGTCGCGAGGGCTATGAGGCACACAAGGAGAGGGCCTCACCATGTCGCAGTTTGCCAGCAGGCTGATCAGTGTGACTGGGCACAGGAAAAGATGGTCCATCCCCAGGGCGGGCGCCGTGCCCACCACCTGCCGGAGGCGCGACGACCGCTTGCCACACACGTCCAGCCGATGCTTGGCCTCCGTCTGCAGCCGCAGGTCGTGCATCAGCACCAGCAGACGCAGCCCGGGGAACCGCTGCACCAGATCCATGACCAGGTCCCTGTTGTGGACTAGCACCAGCGTCTCCGCCTTCTTCAGGACTTCCACGGCGGCGTTGGAGAGGGCGGTGTATGTCGCGAAAGCCGAGCATCCTGCAAAGAGCGCGGCCGAGAAGCGCTGCTTGGTGAGGTTGTCCTTGTTGGCCACGAAGCTCTTCTGGTTGGTGGTGATGCGCTGCGAGCACGAGTCAAGGACGCAGCCGGCTGGGACGGCGTGCGGGCCTGACCACGGCCGGTCCAGTTTGAGGACGACCAGGTCTTGGGCGTCCACCACGTCGTCGGGATTGGCAAGTTCGGCGACTTTGTCCATGTCGACGACCGCGGGAGAGGTCTCTGGCCAGGAGCTGTTGCCACTGCGAACAGAGTTGGCTCTCTTTAATGTGGACCCTGCTATTACAAACGCCCCGCTGTATACTATACTTTCCAGACTATAGCCCGAAGGCCATACACGTATAAAGGTTGAGATTTTATGCACTGCAGACTATACGAGGATTCGTTTTTTTCCCCAACATTCTTCATTATAAAGAGAACTGACTAATAATTTCCAAATGATACAAGCATTATTGTTTGCCGGTAAAGCAGGCACTTTTTGAGGTGTACCGTGCAAAAAAAGTTTTTATGTGTAGACGATGCACCATGTGTAGACTATGCTTTGGTTACGGACTATAGAAGGACAGAATTTTTCTTCAGACGGAATCGGCCTGTGCAATCTATACACCCAGCTGCTGATTAGAAAATTACGGTGGACAAGCTTTTCGGGGCCAAACTGGGTAAACACATGCATATCGCATTTGTTTGTTTGTAGGCAATGTTGTTTGATGTGTTGTGGAATTGAATAGTGCATTCATTTATGCTGCATATGCGTGCCACCTTGCGCACATCACGAATTAATGTTAATCTATGTTGTTTCATTGTCCCACACCTGTTGAGGCCTCTGGTGCACCTACAATAAAATAAATCCCAAATATAGCCCCCCCCCTCCCCCCAGGGCCAAGTTCGGTGAAAAAGAGGGGGCAGAGGGGCACAACTATTAACATCCAAACCTAAAACAGCTACTAAGCAAATATGCTCGATTTGGTTTCTTGCCCATTTAAGCCAACACTAAGCCACGAGTATCGCATAACTTGAAAGATGAAAATAAACCCTGGAGAAGGGGAACAAGAGGGTTTATTTTCATCATTCTTGTCCAGCTCGCTTGCACCTTTGCATTTAATTGCATTATAATCATAACTTGAAAGAGCTGGAAATTTTGTGTTTTACAGCAACAGCCGTCAGTGCGAACCTCCCAGGATATTGCGAGGTCGTCCTTCGCAAAAACTCCCAGCAACGTCACCACCGTCACCGCCGAGTTTCTAAGAGAAGGAAGATTCCCCCCGTCGAGCTGGATTCGAACCGGCGACCTACGAGCGACGGCAATCGTCTTCTCTACACTCTACCGCTCCACCAACTGATCTGCCGACCGGATAAATTTCAGTCAATTGAAGGCGCATTACATTCCACTTCTTTTTATCTTTGATGACGCCCCGAGCGTGCGCGCGGCGCCGGAGGATGGCGAAAGACAACGGGCGCATGCTGGAGGTCGGACGTTCGAAGGAGACGCCCCGATGTTTTCACCTTACCTCGCAAGCGAATCTACTGGCGTAAACTGAGGGAGAGGAGACGAGAGCCCACGGGGATGTCGGAACACCGAGCTTGGGTTGCAATGATCAGTGGGTAGACGCTTCTACCCACTATCGTAATACCCCGAGATAGCCCGCCTAAAATCAAAAGAAAATTGGATGGAAATGAGGAGCGGGCTACCCTTCTAGATGCATTCGAGAAAAGTTGAAAAAATGCTATTTTTAGGTCGCATGTCCCTGCGAAACTTGTCGTCGCGGCAAGGGCCAACGAAGCAGAGACGACTGTACTTCCCAGTCAGCAATGTTCGCTTTAATCCCGCCATAGCTAACTAGAGGCATTTACTCCGGGGTCATCATTGATCCGAACATACGATTATTAGGAGTGGGCTATCTTTCGGTGCTCAATTCTTTGCTGACCGCGGGAAAAGTAGCAATTTTCGAAGGATTCTTGCAAACGCTTTTATTATCCTAACTTGAATATGGAGCAATATGACACAACAAAATGTGGTCAATTAGTTGTTCTTTCAAAAGAAACAGAGGTTGGTTTAATGCAGGAAAAAGATTTTAGAAAATAATTTCTTGAAAACACAGTGTACGTATAGAAAACATATAAAACCAAAACTTTTACAGCTATGTCAAATTAAACGACAAAAAAAGAAATATATAGAATACAAAAATTGTGCCCCACACAGACGGCTATTGCGAAAATTACTGTATTCTGACGGCTATTTTTGGTTTCCCGGAGAGTTGGCCTCCGTAACACGTGTGCTTTTCAATAAAGGAACGCTTATATGGGTGAAACGCAAAGAGTACACCTCACATCTCCAGCAGAATGCTTTCTTTGTGTTCTATCTTGGCTTTGTCACAGCCTTGATTGCAGTTCCTCCATTTAGCATTTTCGTCCGCCTTGTCGAGGAGTATAAAATGTGCACGATGGCTCAGGACAGCATTGGAAAATATAGTGAGGCTTACCGACAAACGCCTGTTAAGTGACACCTATAATATCATTTAAATTGTCCCAACAGCTCTTGAGGTCTAAAAAATATACCACAATATGGTTGAAATAAGTAAATAATGCCATCTTTGTTAGGAAGGCTAATGCAAGCAGTTAGCCATGTCAAACAAATGCAACCACCATTCCCAGGACTACTTTTGACAGCCCACCAGCTTGTGATAAAGCTCAAACATATGCTGAAATTGAAACTAGAGTTCTTCGGCTATCCACGAGGTTGCGGAACATAATTCTCCGCACTAAATTTAATTTCTTGATGGCGCATGGAAACCATCAATCGCCGGTGATTGTTGGCCCATGGGCACGGTCAGGAAAGAGCCAAAATAAAATGGCAAATCAAGCCAAAAATGGGCGACGGGTTACCTTATGGGGGTGGGGCATCTTTCGGTATTCTAGGGTAACCAATGCAACTAGAGCTCGGCGCTCCAACGTCCCCCCCCCCCCCCCCCCCCCCCCCGCTCTCGTCTCCTCCTCTCCCTCAGTTTCCGGCACGTATCGGTCCGAAGAGCGCGTAAATGCACTCAGATTTTTCTTCTTTATGCATTCTGAGTTGTCGAAGGAATAGATGCCGCGCTTTTGAAAGCTCACATGGCCTATCACATTGCATGAATCACTTTAAACCCAGATATTAAGATACATTGAAGAGGAAATACTTTTTGTGACTGCCTGTGTGCACAGCACCCCAAGGAGCTGGTGACAGAAGGGCATCCCACGTCGCATAAATTCTGTATTTCTTTTCCCCCTTTTTTTTTTATCCAATTATTACGCAGACGTATTATCAGATGTCTTACGAGTGATGTGTTGCAGAGACGGTAGCAACACACCAACTGGTTTTTTGAAGGATTCTTGCATGCGATTCATAAGCTCGGCAAAATGAAGTTTTAAGTGCAGCTAAGAACGTAAGCGTGACAACTATGTAGGCACCGTTACTGATTTTGGTAATCTAGCTTTCTCAAGAAAGCGCTATTCCCGCCAGATTTTAAGAAAGAAAAAAAAAAAAAGTACTGCCTAAGAGTCAGACAGCAGCTCAACTCTGTTGCTACGTCCTAGCCTCTTGTATATGCCTATACGGAGAGCAAGTCGTCTGCTTCGTGAGCAGGGGTTGTGGTTGCGTCAGAACGACACCGAGTTGTGATCGGCTTGGAGTGGCAAGGTGGTGGGTAGATCTCCATGCTTTAAGGTCTACCCACTACTTTTTAGATGAGCCAATAAGAGCTCGGAGTTCTGACATCATCGCAACCCCTGCGCAAGAAGCAGACGAACTTGCGCACCGCATACACGATTGTGGTACTTGTAAACGTCGCGCAACACGACCACATCAGGTCACGTTGGTTTGGTTCGAAGTCTAAAGACGTCAGCTTTAACGAGTCAGATAAATCCTTTCGAATGTGAAAAGAAAGCTTCGGATAAAAGGGCTACCCATCTCCGTACCTGTAACGTCAATGCGGCAGTTCTGCGACTGTTTATTCCTGCAGACTATGCCAAAGGTAGCACTATGACAGCGTGCACGACACAAACAATACAAGAAGCGCGCCTTTCTGGATTGTCTGTCGTCTTCGTCGTTGACTATTGTTGACTACTTTAATTCCGGTTGTACAGTGTTGTTGACGGTCTGGTGTCGTTAAAATGCCTAAACAGAATTCACCCCCCCCCCCCCAAAAAAAAAAAAAAAAAAAAAATTAATTGAAATCAAATAAATATTTTAAACTAAGAGTATGGCCAACAAAGAAAAAAACGTAGAAGCGATAGCAAATATATTCACATCGCAAACTCAAACTCGCAAAAAAGTAAAAAAAAAATGTTTGAGTTTTTGGTCAGTAAGCGTTCACACTCCTCAGTCTACGTTCGTAAGACCCGAATAATCGAGCGAGTCCGCGATCCGTTTGTTTTGGTGTCAATCGGCGGCAGTGTTCGTGCTTGAATGTTACGAAACAGCGTTTTATTTTTAAAATTCGCGAGCATGGGCCGCAGGGAGCGATCATCAAGGTAAGCGAAAAGCACCAAGGTAAGTCCCAGCCACCGTAGCAGCTCTTCGTAACAAGAGTGAAGACAATTTTTCACGTTTTTTTTTCTTAATTGTTCACTTTGCTCCTTTAAACTTGAGATTTGAAGTGTGTTTAAGAACTTTAATTTGTCTAAACATTGCACCAGCTGGTGTCTGAGTTTGGAAAATCTCGCGCTCAAAAGCAGCGAAGAAAAAAAAAAATCGTTCGCTCGCGGTTTGTTTTGTTATTTGCCATGCAAAAGTTGGTCACTGGCAATCAGCTGTGGCCATTTTTCTCGTCCCAAAGAGTTTTATATCACCGCCTTGCTGGACTACGCATGAATACGAGCTGCGAGACATAACTCGTAAGTTGTTGGTAACTGATGCGAGGAACCATGAAAGGCAAGCATACCGAGCGTACTGAAAAAAAGAAAGAAAGAAAAAGAAAGCGATACCTCCGAGAAAACAAAAAGAGGGGCAGACGACGAATACGACACCTTGACAAGTGCAAGCAAGCGGGCCAACGGGCGGGAAACCAGAAAAGTATCTTCGTGAAACCACAACTTGTGACGGGTTCCGAAATTGGGGGGTTATTTACAGTAAAGTACTGTACGTCTAAAAAGTATACATGAAGGAAAGTACGAAGTAACCAATTGAAGTAGTAAATACACCAGGCGCAATGTGCTTGAAGTATAGTACTACAAATGCAGTCCTCTTTAAAGTAAAGCACTTTTTAACATTATCTTTCAAAATGTCCTTTCCTTCCCCTGCAAAGTTTTTTTTTTTCTTTTCTTGAAGCTGGTATGCATTGTTTTAGTTGTGACATAGTAATTGTAAAGTAGTCACATAGTAATTGTTTTACTCTCGCTCATGAACTATTTAACGCAGTCAACTTACGAGTAGGATTCTGCGTTTTCGGATAAATCCGAAAAACACTTGCCCGTAAAATTTCCGTCAATTTGAATTTATCCGGAAAACTCTAAATTTCGAGTTCACGGTGGCAAATTAAAAAGCAATAAAGACGAAGTTTGACAAATAATGTTTGTTACTGCGCATGGTTGGTAATCATAAAAACAGGCATCAATTTTTTTTTTTTTTTTTTTGTTGGGTTATTGACAGGAGGGAGTCTTGTCAGGGTTCGTTCAGTACAATGGGTCAGTACAACGTCCGGTGCTACGGGTCAATGCACTTCTGGGTGACAATAAAAGCACTCTTCGTTTCCAGTTTAGACCATACTGTTGTGCTTCTTGTGTTCTTGTAACACTGAGAGATAGGAACCCATTATCTTCATAGGAGGGGGAGGGAAGCTGGGGCGTTTATGCTTCCCAACAACTACGTCCAGGAGTTTGACTACTTCAAAGTACCGACTTTTATTAAAGCAACACTTGTGTGCAAAATTTGTCATGGGGCAGTTAGTACTGCCAATCACAAGGGCACCAGCGTCAAATGCAGCTGCAGGATTATATTTCAATACCCGTTCGTTTTTATGAATTTGGGGCATGTTTTTGTTAAAACATTTATTTTTATATTGAATTTTGAAAAACTGCAATGCGGTAAAATTAAACTCAGAATTTCAAAGAATTTTAAATTTAACGCAAATAAACTATGATAAACCGTGAATTTCCAGTGAAAAATAAACTCGGAAAAACAACCTCCGAATTTTACATGAAATAAACTCTGAAAACACGGAACCCTATCTATAAGGCGCTTATTTGTATCAGTGTTGTAGCTGCCATTACTTCACTCGAAGAATTGACCGCATGACGTCTCGGAAAACAATAGCATGTTTTTACATAGCTACACACCTTTTTTTTTTTTTTAGAAGTTGGTGAGTTTTGATATTCAGCATCAGAAGTTGTGTATAATAGTGAGACAGCCAAGGACTTGAGCACGTTGTCCTTGAAAGATTTGAATTTCACCGAGACCAAATTTGGGGATGTGCTTTGAAGTGGGGAGTTGTACTTTTCTCGGACACTACCATAAAAAGGTACTTTAAGTACAGTACAAGTACATACCTACTCAGATAATGCACTTCAAGTAAAGTAAAAATTTTCTAAGCCTACTTGAAGTGGTACTTTAAGTACAGTAAGTATGTATGTATACTTCAAAAAACGGTGAACCGAAATTTGGATTTAAAAAAAACGATGCAGGAGATATAGGCGGGACGCTACAATCCCTACAGTACTACTTGTATGGCGATATCTCAAATGGACGGCCGTATTTTTGGAAAAAGAGGTCGAGATTGAACCAGGCTGACGAGGCACGTGACGTAGAGATATCTCGTTTCCCCCTCTCTTCGCTCCACTCCCTCAAGGCAGCGAGGCGGAGAAGACGCGAAGCCGTTCTCTATCCTTCTTGGAAAAACAAGACGTAAGCGTACCTGTCAAATGCGCCTCCTTTTCTTGAAAAACAAGGTCATCCGTTCAAGATATCGCTCTATAAGTGATGTTTTGGTGTTGGTAGCATCCTGTTGCACGCTTTTGCCACGTGTCTTGTGGAATCCAGATTTCTGTTCAGCATCCCTTTAAAGTAGTTCCCAACACTAGTTATTTATCTGTTTGTTTTTTTTCTATTTGTATCAGTGTTTTCCGGTTTCTACTTTCAGTGCCGGAGAGAAATCGGCGTTTATCGGGCTTGTGTTGCAGAGCAGCTAGTTACTGGAAAAAATAATTAAATTTATAAGTTACAGATTATAATATTTTCTCCAGTTATGCCGGTCAAGAGAAGGGAACGGGGCAAGTAATGTAGTTTCGATGGAAAGGAATAACTCCAAGGCGAGTCTAGTGCAGCTGTGTTCAGAGTCAACGAGAAAAAAACAAAAAAACTAGGATGGAAGATTTTTGCCCGTGACACTGCTGTTTTCTTTTTCTTTTTTTCTTCAAGGACAGCTAAAATTTGGAGTTTTCCGGATTTCACAGATTCAGAGAAAACCGCCTCGGGGGTTAATATTTAGTGTTTATTGGTATACACACCAACTCATGTTTACAAACACACCGGAGCGCCCCTAGCGGACGTTACCGGCGCCGCGCATGCGCGGTGGATGGTGGGCAAGAAGCCCGCCGTCGCCCATAAACAAACCATTGAATTGCGTTGTTGTCGGCGTCGGTGGGAGTCCCCGTGCTCTTTTTCGCTTTGGAATTGTTGATTCTACGTCCTCCTAACAATGTCTGACTACTTGAGCGGCTTCAGCAAAACTGTCGAGGCAAAACTTTGCGTGAATAATGTGACGTGCGGCGATTCATTTCACGTGGACACCGCAGAATGGGCGCTAAAGCCTGACTTCCACGATGAGATTCTGCTCGCTATTTTCAGTCGCGACGTTGCTCGGACTGCAAAAGCGTGGACCGTAGCTGAGATGGTGGACGTCGATACTGAGAACCGCAAGTAGAATCGGGCATGACAAGTCGGTGATGGCCACTGGTAACAACGATCAACACCTTCTTGTATCTGTTTACACTTAGCCTACTTACCCCAACCAACCTTCAAAAGTGTTTTGAGGCCTGCACTTCGTTCTTATCGCAATTACCGTGTCAACGTTTGGTTTACGGGCCGCTGTCGTTTGAACGAGCTGACGACAAAAAGCAGCCAAGTTTGAAACAGCAGACGACAGTTCGAACGCATGCGCAATGGAGTACGGGCAAGAAGCACCGCGTCCCGCGTCAACAAACCATTCGAATGCCACGTTGTCGGCGTCTGTGTGAGTCTGCCTACTCTTTTTCGCGTTGGAATTGTCGATTCTACGTCCTCATCGCAATGTCTTACCACTTTAATCGCCTGAGGGAAATTATCAAGGCTTGTTATGCCGCTAAACTTTCCGTAAATAATTTGACGTGCGGCGATTCATTCGCATGAACGCCGCAGAATGGACGCCAAAACCATGATGAGATTCTTGTAGCTAATTTCGGTCGCGACGTCGCTCGTGCTGCAAAAGTGTAGAAGTTAGCGGCGATGATCGACGTCGATACTGAAAATCGGAGGCGGGAACAGACCAAGCGTAACAAGTCGGTGATGGCCACAGGTACCAATAATTAATATCTTCTATCTACTGTTTACACCGAGCCTACTTAAGTCTCTTGAAGCCTGCAATTACTTATTACAATCACCGGGTCAAAGTTTAGTCTACGGGCCGCTTTTGCTTGAACGAGCAGACGACAAAAAGCAGACAACTTTGAAAGAGCGGTCGAAAGTTCGAACGATCAGGCGGCCGTGTGAATTTGAAGACGCACTGAACCCGTGGGTGGTCCAGACAACTTGGGGGTTTTCTCTCGTTCATGTTGCAACAAAGCAAATACATTTTGCGACCACAAAGTGTGGCCCGCACACGCAATCGTATTTCGACAGCGTCTGGTTTGCCCCTTTCACGGCTACTATCCACGTTCTCGGACAAACGGAGGGGGCAAAAACACATGAAAACTGATTTTCAAACCTTTCCAGACTCTCTTGGTACAAACCCCATCGCAGCATTTTGACGAGAAGACAGGTTTTTTGTCTCGTTTCTTCCAAAGGAACGCGGGAATGCATGTCTGGCACGGCGACTTCTGCCCACCGCCCCCGACCGGAAGTGCGTCCGGCGCGCCACCACCGCGGCGTGACGTAGGAGAGTTGAGTTTGTGTATA